TAGTTACAAAAATGTTATTTTCTGGTGGACATGACCTCACATTTAAATACACTAAACAAGAAACTGCAACGGAAGGGAAATACAGCTATTTTGCTTTTAGAAGAAGTACTTGCTTTTGAACAAAAATTATGTTTATCACAGACTTAGAGAAAGGCACATTGCTATATTTTCCTATGTTGAAGAAATATCAACATGATTATATTTCAATAGATTTAACATATTTCGCACAAATAGCAATAAATATGAAATTGAGATTTGATGAAAGGAAAAGGGCAACGTTATCATTTATATTGAAACCACTCAAAATTAATTCTGCTGATTTGAATTTTTCATCTTTTAATGATATTGATCAAAGCAATTTTTCAACTAGAACTAGCAGATTTAAAAATCAAGGAAATGTGGAGTTCAAAATTTGTAAATGTTAAAAGTGAATTAGAAAATTTAGAGAGACAGAAATCTAGTTTTGCTGCACAGCATAAATGGTCTGAGATAGAAAATCTTAAAAGGCAAGATCAAGTTGTTTTTGATAGTTGGAACAATTTGCCTGATGCTTACATTCAATTAAAAACTTATGCATTTGGACTTTTATTGATTTTCGGATTGACATATTTTTGCAAATAGACATTTTCAAACATGAATTTTATTCAAAATAAACTAAGAAATCAACTGAACAGTGAGTGTCTGACATCTTGTTTGAAAATAAAAGTAATGTCATTTACTAAATTTTGACAAACTTTCTCAAGAAATTCAGCAACAAAAATCTCATTAGAAACCATATCTTGTTCTTATTTTTTATGAAGTTCTCTATTTTATTCATACAAGTTAAATATATTATAAAATATTTTAAATCTCAGCATACTGTTTGACTGAAGAAAAATGTTAATTTATGTGAAAGGATGTTTAAAATTAGTTGTTTTTTACTTTAAATTAATAATTATAAAATATAATTATGACTATTGTAACATTGAAAATAAATAATTGAATTGCAGTGTATATTATTATAGCACCTTTAAGCAAAGCACAAATAAACCCATTTTAACAAAAAAAACACACGTTTTTTATGCTCAGTTTTCAAAAATGTATATTTCATAATTCAAGTTGCTGACTTGTGGCTCCATAATTATTATTTTGGTAAATATAATTCCTAAAATGGCTCTTTACGAAAAAAAAGGTTGCTGACCCCTGCATTAAAGACTGTAATTTGTATATAATAAATGGTTGTCACCCTCATGATTCCTCAGCTAATTTTACATACATATCCAAATTGGGAGCATCAGTGATAGACTTATTAGTATTGAGTGATCGAGCGTCTTGAAGATTTTTACAGCATCTTGAAGATTTTTACATTTCTGAGGACTACATGTCTGACCATCTTTTGATAGTACTAGAATTATTGTTTGATAACACAAGAAAAAGTGATGCTATTCAAAGAGAACAGGAAAGGTTGATATGGAAAGAAGAAAAAATAAACATGTTTATTCAAGCTGTTGCTGATTTGTATATAACTGTAGTGCTTATTGACAATATAGAACTAACTTATTCATTAATCATTACTTTAATTTGGAAATCTGCTAGGCAATGTGGATTAGTAACAGAATTTGGGATAAGAGGTAAAGTTGGTTTTGGATGGTTTGATAAAGACTGTATAATTGTGAAAAAAGAGAAAAATAGGGTTCTGCAAGAGTTCTGCAGATCTCACTTGAATGAGAATATGGTTAAATATATTAACTATAAAATTAGTTTTCATTCATTATGTAGTCAGAAGAAAAAATATTGGACTAACATAAGTAAATAGTTGCAAACTACAAGGTTGTCAAGAGACTTGGAAAATCATAAACCAAGTGTATGTTAAGCAGAATGCAGAGAGCCAGATTTCTACTGATGGATAGAAAAGTTTTTTGAAATTGGATTTTAGTAGTAGCTGTCTTAGTGTTTTACTGACTATGGATTATGATAATTTTTCTCCTGTTTTAGATGATCCTTTCTCATTTGAAAAATTAAAAATGGCAATCCAAAGATTAAAAAAGGGTTCATCTCTCGATATGGACAGAGTGAAAAACGAATTTATTCAATCATTGCTGAGGACGGTCTATTTAGAAATTTTCTTAATTTGTTCAATAAAATTAGAGACAGTGGCTTTTCCAGAGATATGGAAGAAAGTTTTATTAAAAATGATTTACAAGAAAGGTGAAAGATCTGATCCACGTAATTACTGTCCAATAGCATTGTTGAACATGTTTAGAAAACTGTTTACTAGTTTATTATCGAATTGATTAATAAAATGGTTAAATGAGCATAATGCTATCTCAATATTTCAAGGTGCCTTTGTTCAGGCAGGGGAACAATTTATAATACCTTCTTCATTCTCAATGGTTTAATTCAGTGTGTATTATTGAGGAAAAGAAGGAAAATTTATTCACTTTTTATTGACTTAAGGTTAACATTATCAAATGCCTTTTTTAATTTATTGTGGAACAAACTTTATAATGTGGGACTCTCTAGATCCTTCATTATTTTGCTTAGGAATTTGTTTTCTACTACCCTTTATCAAATAAAGGGAGGTATTATGCAAGTAGAATTGACTATATCTACTAGAGGTTTACCCCAGGGTGAACCACCAAGCCCTTTGTTTAATTTGTGTATAAATGATCTTTCAGAGATATTTCATCATTCAGATCTTTTGGGCTTTTACCTTACTGTCATGGATGAACTGCATTGTCTTCTATATGCAGATGATGTATTATTACTAGCAGACTTTGTCATTTTTACAAAAAAAAACTGATTTTATTATCTGATTATATGTTGGAAAATGATCTTTCTATTAATTTTCAGAAAATGAAGGGATTGGTGTTTTGAAATGGAGGAAGATTTCATAAAACTGATAAAATTTTATTAACAATATGGAAATTGATTTTGTTTCTCATTTTAAATATTTAGGATTGAATTCTTCCTCCTGGTGTTTTCAATCATCATTTGGATATAATAAAGATATATTACAGAAGACAGGTTGTCTTTTGACACTACAGAAAAAAAAATGAGGATGAACACTATTAAAGCGAATCTGAAACTTTTTGATACGACATATTTGATCCCAGTTTGGAGTTTAAATCTTATTGAAAAAATTGAGAAGGTTCAATTAACGTATTTCAAAAGATTATTTAAGCTTGAATGTTCAGTGCCTGGTTCTGTTTTAAGATTGGAATCAGGGAGACCACCACTTGAAATTAATATTTTAAAAAGTATTTTGTTGTTTCATTCTAAGATAATTGATCTTCCTCATCATGATTTTTGTTATTGTCTTTATTATTCTTTATTGTCTTTATGATTTAAGAAAGGAAATTCAAGCAACAGAAATTGGGTATTATCAATTAAAAACATTTTTGATAATTTAGGCTATTCTTTTGTATTTTCAAATCATTCACAGCTACAGTTGAGAACTCATTTTTGTGATATAATACAAATTAGATGTGGTCAATTATGGAATCAAGATATTACTTACACTTCACTTCAGCAACATAATATTTATGAAAGAAGTACAGGTTGGCAGACCACCAATTACTTAAATTATAACATTGGATTTCCTATGAAACGTTTGTTAATGCAACTTCATCTTAATAAATACTGGATTATGTTGAGTGGTCAGTATGTAGATATTTCCAAGATTTTGTAAAGAATTATTTGTATGACAAAAGTATGTCTAAGATAATTTGTATAAATTGCTTAATTTTTTTGTTAAATCTTTGTACTATTTATGTTAATTGTATTGTTTAAGCACAATTAAGAGATCATTGTATGGCTGCTTATTTATTAATTTTGCTCCCCTCTTGTATGGAAGTACTTGTACTTATATCAATAACAAATAAATAAAAATAATAACTTGATGAAGTGACCAAAATTGCCCATTTTTCCAATAAACATACTTGCTGGAATAAGTATGGAAAGTGTCTGAGTTATCAAAACTATAAACTTAATATAAACATTGCTTTTTTACAATGACATTTTAATTCTAGAGGTATTCTATATTTTAATGGATATATATTACAAACATTTTCCATCTAGTATTTTGGAGTTATCTCCTCTAAGATAAGTAGCAATAATAATTTCAACTTGATTAATATCTTATTAGCAACTTGATTAATATCTACAGAATCCTAATTTATGTTATACATTTTTATGTATCAATGTGATCAGTATGAAGATGTTTGAAGACATTTATTGTTTTCTTAGCAAATCCGTTTTCATTAACGAAATGAAAATACATAGCATGGAAAATTTAGAAAATATTGTAATTTATTTTGAGTAGTAATGAAGATAATTTGCAACAACTGAAAATAGCAGTTTTTTCTTATTCACAGGGGTAAAAATCTAACAAATGTATGGCTACTTCATATGATAAAAGTACTGTACATATGCATTGTCAGTATAGAATTAATCTTTACTAAATTATTAACTCTGAATGTCATGCCAATCTGTTTTGCGAAAATAATCGATGTCCTTGTTTTAAGTTAATGATTTGTTTTTATTTAAAGATGTTTAAAACTTTATCTAAATAGTAACTTTATTTTCTATTACTGTTAAAAAAAATCTGTTAAATAGATTTGTAGAATATCCTAAGTTATTATTCTCTTGATTTATTTATGATTAGTCTAAAAAAATTGTAGATATTCTGTGAATCTTATTAGGAACTTTAGTGTTACTTATGAAGTGTTAGTATTATCTGCTTTGAAATTTTTGGGTGTATATTTGAATGATGATTGGGCTGCAGTTTGAAAAAATTGTAGACCTATAAATTCCTACTGTCATCCATCTGTCTGTCCTTAATCTCAAGAACTGAGTTAGGTAGATGAAAGATGAGACCAGATACAGAAACCTTAGGGGCAGGAGGCTCTGATTAACTATATGTAAAATTTTGGTTTGCATTGGAGTTATGTTATTTCAATTCAAAACTTTTCCTCTGAAAGGAGTTAATTTTTGTAATTAAATACAATTATTAATTTTAGATACCCAAATTATGTCTTCCTGGGAGATGCTAACATTGCCAAGAGTGCCTCTTTAGGAAATCGTTACTCATCTGAATCTTTGAAAGGAGTCATTTTGGATATACATATGCTTTCTAGATGTAATTATTTAGTATGCACATTTTCATCACAAGTAAGTGATTTTTGTTATTTAATAACTAAATAAATCTTATTTTTTTAAAATAATTAACATATTTATCTTAAAATATCTATTATAGATTGAAATTGTTGGTGAAAATTTCAGATTTTAATATTTTTCAATAATTGCATTTTCCCAACACTTTAAATTTTAAAATATAAAATAAATTCCTTTTTCTTAAACATAACACTATTTATTTTTGAAGACAAAATACCCTAAATATTTATTTGTAAATGGTTGTTTGATGTAATCTATGAAAAAATTATTGTATTTTTTAAATTTAAATCACTTCTGAATCATTTTAAAGTTTTATATCACATATGGGAGAATGTAGTTTTTATATTTTGTGATTATGTATTGTATAACATATATACTGTATTCAAATTAATATTAAATAACATATATTTCAAAAGGTATAACAATGAATACCATATTTGCTCGCATGTAAGATGAGATTTTTATTCATTTATCACAGCTTCAAATTCCTAGGGCGTCCTATACGCATGACTGAAAGATTCTTCGTGATTTGCAGATAATTTTTGTGAACCGTGTATTCTCATTTTTTACTGGATGCTTACCTTCTTATATTTAAAAACAAAAGTATTTTATCTGGGTTGTTTGAATCATTCTTGTATATTGTCAGGAGTAAAGATGAATAGCAATAGGAAAAGCAAAGCTTTTGAATTGAATTCCAAACTGAAATTCCAAAATCACACAAGAGCCTGATATAAGTTTTAATCCATTCCCACATGAAAACCGATGATTATTCAGAAATCAAAATTTGGAGAAACTCATAAGTGTAATTGATGGAGAGTGGATTAGACTGTTAAGAATTGGCAAAAAAAGGTTTCTGATTGTCCAGCTTTACATGAACAAATTATGCTGCTGATTTTACAAGATTTTTCTTTCAAGTTTAAAATGCCAGTAATTTTTGCAGGACAGTGTGTGCATTTATGTTCATTTGATATTTTGCTTGTGATTAAACAAAATAAAATTAGAATTGCATTATAAATCTAATTTTCTTTATTTTGATCTTTAAAGTCACACCTCATCCTATATGCAAGTCCATCTTATATTCAAGTAAATGTGGTAATTTATAATTAAAATATATAAATTTTAATTTAATATTATATCAAGAGTAAAAATATTTTTATATAGTAAATGCTGTAATAAGGCTGTGGGTTGATAATGAGGATAATACCATACATGAAAATGGATAGGCAATAACAATTTTGGTTATTACTCTTCATAAGAATATCCAAACAAAAATATTAAACTGATGGCTGAAGTTTTATTCTTATTTTATCAGTAATAAAACAAGAAAAAATATTCTGAAATAAGTATTGTGTTTTGATTTAATTACCTTTTAGTATTATTTTTTGTGCTGAAATCTGTAAACTTCAATATAAATATGAATGAATGAAGAATAAAAAAACAGTTTGTTTCAAAGTATAGAAAATTTATATTTTTTAATATAATTTAAACATACAGTGGAACCTCACTTAAATAGCATAATTCGTTCCAGAATCTTACTCGTAATGAGAAACAGTTTTTCCCATGGAAATTAATGTAAAATATGATAATGCGTTCCATGCCAAAAAATACTCAAATATTTTATGTATAACATTTATTCAAAGAAAATTACACAATATACATTGTTCAGAAGCGTGAAGTCATTGTCATCTTTTCTTCTAGTATGGAATGAACCAACCTGCAAATCAAATGCAAATTTTTGTTTTCTGCAAATCAAATGCAAATTTGATTTGCAGAAAACAAAAAAACACAGATATGTCTGATGAAGACATCAAACTATAGCCCAAGAATTTGGCATATATAAAGGCTATAATTAAATATTAGAAATTAATTTGACTAGAAATAGGCAGTTATGCTGCCATCTCATATTAAATTTAATAATTATAAATAATTAATTTTTTATTTAGACATTTTAAAAATTTAATTTGGA